TGGATGTTTGAATGCAAATTGAGGCGGCAAAAATCCCAACTGAGGCACACACACCAATTGTTCTTGTTTTTGCCCAAATTTCTTTTATTTTTTTGTGTGTTAGATTACCCAATCAGGGCATGCGCCCCAATTAGTCTTAATAAAGTTTGACAACTCCAATTGGCGCGTGTCTGTCCAATTCATTTATTTGTACAGTAATTAAGAAATATTTTTTGAAACTACAGTATTTTGGGTAATATTTTTTTTGAAAAATACAACATTTTAGGAAAAACCCCCTAATCTTTCATGTTATGCACACATTTTATGCAGTAATTAAGATCGACATCAATGTCGCAATTTGACTTCATAAATTTTTCTTAAGAAAATACTCAATAAAAAGAGCAGCAAGTTTTTCTGCATCTTTTATGTATCTCAAGGATTTGTCATTGCACAAGTCATCAAGATTCTCAATAAATATTTTTCCAATCAATTTCGCCATAGACAACTAACTATAAGATCTCCAATAATGCACTAACATTCCAGGGTGTACGATAATTATCCCACAAACAAACACCCTTTCTCAGTCCCCACACCAATCTCCCAAATTTTAACAAGAAAAAAACCCAAAGGAAAGGAGATTGAGAAGGAAAGCAACCCATTTTCTTTGATTTGCTTAGAATTTTGTTTTTTTTTTTTATTTGGATTTGGGTTTAAGTGCACTTTGAAGCTTTTCTTCACGTTTCTGTTCTCAATCTTTTGCGAAAGTGCAAACCGTTATAGAACAGTAAACCGTCCCCCATTGCGGCCTAAAATCTTGCCTCTCTCTCTCCCTATTTCTCTGCGAATCTCCCCTCGTCTTATCTTCCCCCCTCCTTCTTGTCCTCCAATTTTCCATTTATGAGTCTCAGTTTCTTTCGCCAGTCAACCTCCATTCTTCTCTCCCTCAATCGCTAAATCATGGGGGTCGTGCAGTTAAGATAATGATCATCACAATAATGTCCGCGCCACATTTTTCTCTCTTGTTTCGTGCTTATTCCAGGAGCCTGTAAGAGAGAGGGCGAGAGAGAGAGAGAGACTTGATAACTACCAAAAACAGGGGAGGGATCGTTCTCAGTGAGGCATTCTAACAAACACCTTCAATGGCCGACGATCTTCTCTGTCACGAGGACATCTTCCTCGCTGCCTCCACCCCATCTCAAGGCGGAGCAGCGGCAGAACCACCGTCCGGCGCCGACGGAGATGTGCTAACGGAAGTGAGGTCGAAGTACGAAATCGGGGGCGACGGGGATGAGGAGTTCGTAAGATTCTTGGTGGAGAAAGAGACTGCTCATGGGTACGGGGTCGGTCAAAGTGTGGATTTCGACGTATGGGTCAGCGGCGTTCGTACCGAAGCCATCGATTGGTTTTTCAATGTGGGTTGTTCTTTTCTTCCCCACCCATATTATTCAATTGAATCAAGACTCTGTCTTTCTCGTTCTCGATCTCAATCCCCTGTTTTTTGTTTTTTACCGGTAATGCAGACGAGAGCTTCACTTGGCCTCCGCTGGAAAACGGCGCATCTCTCTGTCACTCACTTCGATCGCTTCTTGTCAAAATTCGTCATCGAGGTCAGCCATCAACGCACAGTTTCTCTAGTTGGATCTCTTTTGGGTTTCTTTTCTTTTTCTTACTCTGTAATTTTTTTCCTCTGTTTTTGTTCCCCTGTGCGCAGCCGCATCGGATATGGGTGGCGAGGCTGCTGCAGTTAGCGTGCTTGTCATTAGCCGCGAAGATGGAAGAGACAGATTCGCCATCTCTTTCTCTGCCTTCGTATCAAGTCCATGGTTGGAGTTTCGGATACGAAGCAATCGCGAGAATGGAGTTCCAAGTGCTGACGAAATTAGGATTCAGATTGAACACTCCGTCGCCTTTCGACTACATCCCCTGTTTCCTAATCAAGGCAGTCGAAGTTTGCCCGCCGATGGAAACCGTGTCGAGGATTACGAAATTAATCTTGGCACTAACGAGGGGTAATTTTCAGTAAAATAAAAATCCCCACAAATGTCAATGCTCAACTCTCTCTTTCCCTCGTTTCCCAGGCAAATAGTCAAAGTATTGTGGTTTACGTTACTTGCAGTTGTAAACTTGAGAAACCATCGGCCGTCTTCAATAGCAATTGCTGCAATCATGGCGGCATTGGATCAGAACATGGAAGCAGATGCACTAATGAGTCGACTGAATACATTTGCTTATGCTCATTTGCTCGACATTGTGAGTAGATTAAAGATCGATCAATAGGGTTCCTCTTCATTCCATCTTTTTGCTCACATTCTCTGATAATAATTGCTTTCTTTTTGTGCAGGGGAATGCGGTAGAGTGTTATAATTTGATGAACAATCTGGATATGGAAGATGCAGCAGAAATCCCTGTGGTTTCTCCTGATGTTTCTCCGGCGAGATTTGATGGTTCATCATCATCGGCGGCGGATTACTTGGGTAATGTCAAGAGAAGGAGGCTGGATTTTGATAGGCCACCTGATCGTCCCCCGGATCTACTATAAACACCTGACAAATTCTTTTGATTTGTCTAAAAATTTGATTCTTTTTTTTTTGTTTTTCTTCATCTCTGGGGAAGATTTTGATTCATAGCTTCTGTAAATGGGTTTTTTTTTTCATTACTTCGATTCAAGTTCTCGAGGACATGATCCATATTGTTGGTGAGATTGGAAATTGCCTCGTTATAATCAGTAGGAGGCAGTACTTAGATTGAGAACTCGCAGCAGAGTATGAAGTATGCAGGGCAGAGGAGAAGGGAGAAGGCCAGAAGCTCTGTTCTTGTGAACTGTAAAGTGAGGAAGGCAAGTTTGCAGCAACATTCTTCTTACTCACTGGTTACTACATTGAGTAGTAGGGTTTTAAATTGGAATTAGGTTGTTCTTTTTGGCTTGGGAAATAACTTTGGATGGCCATTTTCTTCTGTTTAAATTGGTAGCTTTCTTTTTGTTTGAAAGCCCTTTACTTTAGCTGGGGGATGCTTGGGGAAAGGGTTTCTTTTGTTGTTGGTGTTTGGGAAAGGCTGATTGCATTTTGGTAGTGAGAGTTGGGAAAGAAAACACTAGAAAAGATGACTGGGGAAAGAAAGAAAAGAAAAGAAAAGAAAAGAGCTTTCCCCTGTTTTTGTGAGCGATTTTATTAATCTTTGCTCTTCTGCAGCTTGCCTGCAAACCTGCATGTTGACAATCAGAAAAGGGATAGAAAAAAAAAGAAAGTAGAGTGAAATGGCATGGCTTTGTTTGAATAATATTATAACATCTGTAGTGTCCCTTCCTTTGCTCACTTTGTTTAACTCTACTTGGTAAAGCTTTTTCCTTGGGCTGCATTTGACCCTTTTTCTCCCGTAGAAACAAAGTAAGATCTGTGGGTTTTGTTATGGTAGATGGTGGGCATGGTGTGATATGGTTCAAAATACTATCAAATTGGTATAGAATCGAATCGTACTTAATGTTGAAACTAGTTCGGTCTTGTATAGCTCGTTTGATATATTTATATTCAGATAGTTAGGAGTTGGGTACAAATACAATATGATCCAACTCAATTTGGATCCGGGTCTATTTTGGTGCGTGAAAGCCTATAGTACCCTTGTTCTGATTTTCTGCTGATCATCTATCGATATCCTTTGACGTAATAGAGATGATTTGGGAATAAGTGGTTAAAGAAAGAACTACATGTAGCCAAATAACAGTAAAGGAAATCCTGTGTGATTGCATATGCAAAGCAAGATTGGAAGAAAATGGTACCACAGAGAGAGACAGAGAGAGCTCTGCAGCTGCACACTCACAAGTCACAACCAACAATCACAAGGAACCCAAAACCCAAATTGATTGTTGTTGTGGTGACTCTGGCAAAGAGAGAAACCCCAAAAGATACGAGCCAGAAGGGATTGACGTCTCCATAGATATGATGATGGAGGGAGGGTGAAAAATAAGGCAGGGGGGGAAAAGCCAAAAAGATGAAAACTTTTCTCGTTTTCTCTTCATTTTCACCAAAGTCCAATAAGAGCTCAATACATAGCTGTACAGGTCAAAAACTGGCTAAAGAAGTACTTGGTACTGTCCCCTGCTCTCTCTGTCAATTTTTGGGTACCTATTTCTCTGCAAATGACAGCACTTCTTCTGGGGCTATACCAGTTGCACAGTCCTGCCCTTCCCTTGACTTGAAAACAACAACAACAACAGCAACATCAAAGCTTTGCTGTCTTTCACTTCCCTCCCCACCTTCCTTCCTTCCATAGAAACTTCTGCTAATAGGGTTCTCTCTTCCCTGAGAAGTGACTAGTGAGTAGTTCCTTCCTTCCTTCCTTCCTCCCCCCACCACTCAAAACAAGTGCTGTCATTTTCCATGTTGAAGAATCAGGACTTCACTGTCACAATTCACAAAGGAGGAAGAAATTGAATAGCCAGAACAGGAGAGGAGAACCAATGATAACAATAATATATATGTATGGGTCAGGCTGCCAGTAGTGCTACTGTATGTTTTGTCCATGGTTAGGTGGGGGATTGGTCCATCACATATCGATAAGCTCTGCAGACTGCAGTTACCTAGTATGTATATATGTATTTAGACAAAACTTGGTTCATCAGTTTCTTCTTGGCAGGAAAGGTCCCCCAATAGCAACTGATCTATACTTGTTTCATGTAATTGGATACCATTTGGCTGTATCCCTCAGGAGCTCCTGACAATTTTATATTTCTACCCTCGGGTTAAAAACAGTTACCATAGGTGTGTGGTATTAGTATTCAAATTACTGCGAAGTTATTGAAGCAAATGGTTAGTTCGAAGAGTTTTATGCAACGGGGTTAGATGATTAGATCTCGATTTGGCTCAACCGACCATATGCCAACTATAACTGGTTTAGAGTAGCATCACACAGCAAGAGTTTAGCAGACTGATGACAAAAAATTCCTACAAATCAATTGATGATCTCTAGCATTCAAAGAATCCATGAGAAGATAGTTTGGACGACTAATCTGAGTACCCTACCAATCAGCTTGATCCTACAGGAACCATCTTCAGAATAGCAGCAATTGGCATGCCGAGGAACCCAAATGCTATGCTTACAAACCACTGCTGCCAAGTGAGAGGAGTTGTGCTTGCAAATGTACCCAGGAACTCAATAATTATGATCTGGAAGATGGCAGTGCAACTCAACACAGCTACAAACACATAGTTCTTCAGTATACCGTCAAAGACATTCACTTTTTCCATCTCCCTTGAGCTGATCTCATTGAAAACCTACATAGGCAAAAAGGAAAGAAACATTAGATTGGTCTTTCAGTAACCCAAGATTTCCAGTTTATCTGGTCATTGAAAGTCTGTAATGGCATATTACCTGGCAAAAGACAAATGAGTTGAAAATGAGAGTGTTGAGTATCAAATCAGAATCTGGGCCGTCAAGTCGAAATGCTTCCTTTCCTTGTGTCTGAAGGTACCATATCACCACGAATTGATACAAAGATTGCCCCGTGATATTCCTCCACATTACATTACTGATGAAGTTGCCTTTCCTACCAACCGGAGCTCTCTTCATCAAATCATCAGTTGGAGGCTCTGTAGCTAAAGCCAGTGCTCCTAGAGTGTCCATGATCATATTGACCCACAGAAGCTGAACAGCTGTTAAAGGGGCATTTCCTGGAAGAGCAATCGGATCATATGAGATTAAGATTAAGCAAATTTTGAAATGTTGCAAAGAGGATGAAAACAAACACACACCAGTAAGGCAGGCTGAAGTGAAGTTGACAACTAGGGCAACCACATTAACAGTCAATTGAAACTGCACAAACTTCTGGATGTTCACATAAACCGAACGCCCCCATTTTCCAACTGTCACAATTGTTGAGAAGTTGTCATCCAAAATAATGACATCCGCACTCTCTTTAGCCACCTGCAGAGTGCAACTTGCAGAATGAGCAACCAGAAAAGTAGAGGTCAATCTACTAAAACAAAAGTAGATGTAGGCTTGAAACAGACCTCAGTTCCTGCGATGCCCATGGCAAGCCCAATATCTGCCTCATGAAGTGCAGGAGCATCGTTTGTACCATCACCAGTCACAGCGACAACCTCTTCAAAAGTAGTTCTTAGTTGCTTCACAAGGGTATGCTTATCCATTGGTGAAGATCGAGCCATCACCTAAATATTAAGTGAGCATCAGTATAGATCAAGCTAAACGAGTTTGCCTATTTTAATTGCCTACAAACTCAAGAAATTGAATTCTAGTTCCCTTTTTCATGATTGACATGAAAAGAAGTCCAAAAATGGAGACTGTTTGGGCCAAAATTTGAGATTAGAAATGTCGTAAAACATGCTAGGAACTTGGTAGAAATGGTCAAATGGAAGTGCTGACCACTACAGATTTATTACTATTTCATCTTTTCACTTCCATCTTTCTCTCTTTCACATTTCCATTTTCCAAGACAGATAGAAACCTATTCAACTATTTTTTTTTATTTTAAACATCAACAACAATTCATTTCCCATATAGTTGTGATTCCAAAGACAAGATTTGGAGATGGGGTCATAGGAGGACTGGGAATTTGAAGATGAACTCATTTGCTTTTCTTATGAAATTGTATTTATACAGGGCCATTTGGGGTGAGGTGACAATTACCTAAGCTTGAATTCAATTTGTTTCCCAGTTATACCTTATGTGTCAGGAAAACTATGAATCAGTAAGGGAAAAAGATAACGCACCTGGAGCTTGGGAATAAGTTGCTGCAACTCGGCATCACTCTTCTCCCTGAACTCAGGACCTTCAATTGCTAGCCCATCGTCAGTCAGAATTCCACATTCTCTGGCAATGGCCTTGGCAGTTGTTAAGTTATCTCCAGTGACCATCCGAACAACAATTCCAGCAGACCTACAAACCGCAACAGATTCCTTGACACCAGGGCGGACTGGATCTTTGATACCGACAATAGCAATGCAAGTGTATCCTTGGAAAGGAATATCACCACTTTCTGAAAATTCACTTCCAATGTCAGAGTATGCAAGGCAAAGAGTTCGAAGAGCTTCACTAGCAAACTTCTCAATCGTGTCTTGGAGATGGGTGGTGGATGCCTCATCAAGTGGAACAACATCTCCATTTGAATTAAGAAACTTGTCACATGCAGCTAAAGCTATCTCCGAGGCACCTTTACAATGAGCACGGAAACCTCCTTCAGGAAGCTCTAGAACTACTCCCATTCGCTTTTTCGTAGAGTTGAAAGGCTCAACCTTTACAATCTTCGATTTCACTCTTTCTTCCTCGAAGTCTCCACCAAGCAAGAGACCCAATTCAAGAAGAGCAGTTTCAGTGGGAGTGCCTAGAATCTCTACTTTCTGAGCTTCATTAACCACAACATCTCCTCCAGTGTTGTTGAATATCGACTCAAGTAGAATTTTCCTAACCGATTCAGGAATCGAAGACCCAAACTTCTCAGAACCGCTCACTTCCTTAATCTCCCCACAGATGCAAGTTTTGACAACAGTCATGTGGTTAGTTGTTAGAGTCCCGGTTTTATCACTGCAGATAGTAGTGGCGGAACCCATTGTTTCACAGGCAGCCAGATGTCGAACTAGCGCTTTATCATTCATCATCTTCTTCATAGCAAAAGCAAGACTCAAAGTTACAGCCAAAGGAAGTCCCTCGGGAACTGCAACCACAACAATGGTGACAGCAATGGCAAAGAACTCCAACATTTCCACAGCTTCATCTCCAGACCAAATCCATTGGGTTCCTTCCTCGAGCTTCCGAGTGAACAACCCTTGCACTAGGACAGAAAATGTCACAACAGCGAAGAACAAGCCGATTTTCCCAATGACCGTGGCAACTCCATTCAATTTGACCTGCAGTGGAGTCTCATCATCTCCTCCCTCACTAAGAGTAGCCATGAGCTTACCCCATTGTGTCCTCATTCCAACAGTTGTCACAAGCATCTTGCAAGAACCATTCTGAACTTTGGTCCCAGAAAGGAGAAACGGGTTTGAAGCATTGACATTAACTGGTTCACTCTCACCAGTCAAACTTGATTCGTTTATCAATAACGAGTAACCTGACATAAAAAGACCATCAGCTGGGACCTGGTCACCTATAGAGAGATGAACAATGTCTCCTGGAAGAAGGTCATATATGGAAAGCTTCTGCCTCAAGCCATTTCTAGTAACCTGCATGACAATCTTCTTCTTCTCCTTGTCCAAATCTCTGAACTGCAGAGACTGCTTGTAATCACTGGTGGCAGTGACAAATACAACCAGAAGAATGCTGGCAACAATTCCTAGTCCATCATGGGCACCTTTAGGCCAGCCTTCTGTAACAATGCCGACAAGAAGCGAGACAAAAGCACAGATACCGAGTATCATAAGTGTTGTATCTTGTACTGCTTCCCACACAAAGAACCAAAACCCCTTAGGAGGGCTCTCGGTGAATCTGTTGACACCATATACTCGTTGCCTTCTATCGATTTCGGAAGTGGAAATGCCTTTGGTGATTGTTGTGCCTAACTTTTCTGCAATACCTTCCACCCCATCATGAATTTTTAGTTTCTTCACATCATGACCTTCAACAATGGATCCTAGCTCTTCTGCACAAATCTGAAAGCCAGCTTCTTTTACATCCTGGGGTACAATGTAGTCACTGGCCAAGCTTAAACCTGCAAGCATATATGATTAGAAGCCATTGACCCCCAAACGTGGAAGAACTTAAAAAACTTAAGAATTCAGAGGAATGTTAACAGGGTCTCACCCTGAATGAACTGAAGTGCAGCTTTTGAAACCAAAACTGCAACTCTCAGCTTCTCCTACAGTATTATCACAACAATGAAAGAGTCAGAAAACTGAAAGGTACAGAGATACACTTCGGCAGTTAGTTAGTTAGTTAGTTATAGACTTGCATTCTACGGCAGAGGGGAATTTGGAAGCCAATTCAGTCCAAACCCAACTGGCAACTGCCAACGTACAAGACCACCCTAGTTTATAACTCCCAAATGGTTGATCTTATCTTCTTTTCAGAACATGAAGAATCTCATTGGACCATTGAGATCTGATCACCTGATCTGGATGTAATCGCAGAGTGAATTCTATCCAAATTCCAACCAACTCCTAACAAATTTCATCCAGAGTTTCGTCAAACACTTCTCAATGAGGGGGTGCGAAAAATTCGAAGTCAAAGTCTAGGTCTTCAATGCACTCACTAACTAGCATGTTCATAAAGATGGAAACTTGCTTGCGGATCAAAGCTGGGAAGTCTAAATTTCTATTCTGGTGACTTTTTCAGGAACTAAACAAACAGATCGAGAGAGAAAAAAGGGAAGGGGAAGTAAAGAAGGGAAGACCTGATTAGATCGACGAATGGCCTCAGCCTCGAATCGCTTGGAGAGATTAGCAGTGAAACGGAACCGGCGCTTCTTATTCTTCACCAACCAACAAAGCTTCCTCCATCTCTGTAAAGCTTCCTCCGACGAGTTCTTCGCTTGCACTTCAAAATTCTCAGTAAAGTAGTTCTCCATCTCCAAATCTCCCAAAGACCCACCAACAACTGTCTTCTTCTTCAACTCAAAGAGAAGGGATAACCTCAGAAGAAGCCCTCCTTCGTGGTTTCGACCTAATTTGCCAAAAGATCTAACAACCAGTCAAGTACCCTTTATTCCTTTGGCCCCAAAGAGACCATCGGCTCTGTACTCTCTACTCCTTAAGAAACCCCCTCTGTAATGGAAATAAACTCCTAACTGTAGCAAGCAGAAGAAGTGGCAGGAAAATCCTGTCTTTCGTTTTGTTCTCGAAGCAAAACCAAAAAGATCAGAGAACCAATTGGAAGAGAGAGGAAGGTCAAACGCCTTTCAAGAGAGAGAGAGAGAAGAGGAGGGAAATTAATAAGAAAACAATGGAGACCCGGGCGGCTAGTAATTCCGGTGGCTGGTTGCCAAAGGTGACAAAGGAAAGGAAGGAGAGAAGTTTCGTCTGACGACGGAAAACCGCGTGGCGCCTTCCTTTTGTTCAATTTTAGTGTTTTTTCGAATATTGTTCGGTCGTTTTGTAAATTGTTGGTTGGCTAATTGGATTTTTCATTTTTGCTTTCGACGCACGATCGTGATTCGAGGGGGCAGCCTGAATAACGCGTTTAACGATACGTGGCAGAACACGGAGAGAGATGGGGACGTGGAGGGAGGGGGCCACCTGACGTGGCTTCCGCACTTCTGCATTAATTGAACATAGAGGTTGGCACGTGGGTGGTTAATCCGCGGATTGATATCGATCCACCCGCAAATAACCCGATCCGTACGCAATGGGTGATTGATGTGAGTGGATTGCGGATTGTTAAATCTCTCACCGCACTTATATGGGTGGATGGTGGGTGGATTGCGAGTCACTCGTATGACCCGCATCCTATTTTTACATGGATAAATGTTATTTCTTATAGTATCGAATATTCATCATATTTTCGAACTACACTATAGTCTGACCATATACTTGAAAAGGTGGAGAGTAAAGAATAATTTTGACTACTATTATTGGTTATTGTGTTGTGCAATATGCCAATATCCATTGGCAATGGATACTAGTATGCAAATTATTGTTAATATCCATTAAATATTGGGATACAAACTATAAATTATTAATTGTATCAAACTCACAAATTATTGATACAATCTTACTAATTTGCTATGAACTTATTATAAATGTTAGTCAATTTTCTTAATGGCTAGTTGGAAAATTATTTTTGTTGGTTAACCCGCGATCCAACCGCACCCATCCACCACCCACCCAACCCGCATAAGTATGTGAGTGGATTGCGAATCACAAATATTCCAACCCGCTAATAAACGGGTGGGTCAATTTTATACCATAATCCACCCAACCCGTAGATTGCCCACCCCTAATTGCAAATATAATTGTGGTGGCAGGGTTAAGAAGGTAATCGGATTCTTAAGCTTTCTTTTACTTGGTTCCATTAATTGGATTTAATAATGTCATCGATTCTGTAATTAATTAACTGATTTTAATTTAACTGTGCAAAGTGGAAAGAGGAATTCTCGGTCCCTTCCCCCTCGTGGGCTACGCTGACATATTTTCATCAGGCCCAGAAGATAGTTGGGCTAAGCGTGTTCTACGGTTTCACGTGGCAAATCTGTAGGAAAAACTCAAATCGTATTAACTTTGTCAAATATCAAAAGCAAAGTTGTGGTAATCAACGGTTTTCGGTTTATATCTAATCTTAGCCCGTATTTGTCGGTTCAACCAGATAAATCTCCTGTTGAATAAAATTAGTAGGCGAAGCGATATGAAACGATTGAATCAATATTAAATTATAGTTTCAACATAAATACTCTATCGTTGACTTTTTCAATATAACTTCCGGTAAGTTTTTTCACACCTGGGTTCATACTGGTTTTAGCAAAACATGTAGGTAAATTTACGCATATCTATTAAATTTAACATTTCATTATCATCTCGAATTATATGAGTTTCATAACATTTGTCTCATGACTTCTTACGTTGACTGTTAGAGATAATTGTGGACCGGACGGAGATCAAACTATAGTTAATTTTCGCTGATATGTCAGAAACGTGACATCCACATAGATCCCCACGTAATCGACATGTGATTATTTAAATCATAATTAAGTTATATAATCAAGAAAATATAAAATGATTAGAAAATTAAAATAGCAAATTATTAAGTTAAAAAATAGTTTCTAGGCTCTGCCTCCGCTAACCCCGTCAAACCATGACTAGGGGAGAACGACCTATGATCTCTCTAGATCACATACTCCGTCATCCAGCGGTATAAATCCCAATCACCACCACAACAATTCTTACCCTAGCTCAAGCAGCTAGACAGAGAATCCTCACGAAATTCATAACCAGAACCAGCCAAACGCAGAGCTTCTTCACACATGACATGAATTTAACGAGTACACCGGAATTGAGGGAAACAACAACAATAGAAATGAGAATGATTATGAAGTCAGAAATCAGAATCCGACGAGATTCTTAATTTCAGGGATAGATAGAGAAGCTCATCAACTAGGGAGATGAAAATATATGACTACCACTGAAATTGAACGCCTTATTCATTATATGCGAGCTCTGGTAAGTGGTAAGTCGGCTGAGCCCAACAAGAACCACTCGGTATGCGTGATATCCTCATCCACCGCGTCGACGGTGAAGGCGGTGTTGGGACACTACTGTAACCTTCAATTTGGGGTGGAAGTCGACTACAAGAATATCATGAAGAATGAAATATGCATATGATAGATGTGTGATAGTCTATTTGTATGGATCCCTTGATAAGAATATCTATATTAATTTTTCTGAAGGTTTAGTTTGCCAGAAACAAACATGTGATATTCTCGATAACAATATTAATCGGATAAAACAATTCCTAGTATGGATTGAGAAAAATGATGAATGTGGTATTTCATCTAGTGAATTTTTGCTAAAAGAAGTGATTGGACGGGCCTTTAGTGGTTAAATTCAGATAAAGTGATTTTGAGTATTTGCATTTGACATGTGTGATTGTATGATAACATATAGGCTTATCTGTGTGATATGTGGTTTTAGTTTATGTATGAGTTTTGATTTATGAGTGTATTTTGGTTAATTGATGTTGTACGTATGGCGTGGCTTTGACTTGTGATTTTGTGGTATGAAGTAATTGCTTGCATACCATAATGTTAGCTGATTTTTATAATTATTTAAAAGAAAAGAGTCAATACATTATTTTGTAATGGTCTCATATTATCTCGATGATAAAATTATTATTGAAACTTCAAATGAGCTTCCTAAAGCAATAAATTGCATAAAGAATATCCTTGTGCGGACGAGGAAGGTAAAATAAAAAGGTGAATGGGCAATTTTGTATAAAAAATGACATACGTATAATAGCCTAATGATCATAAGCTCATCGAAAGTGAACAAGATCAATTGAGGCTGTGAGATAGAAGTGAATTATGATATTAGAATTGATGTCGTTAGAGTGCAAATGTATATTGCTAACCATACATCATCTAACAGATCATTCGGTGTTCATTTATTAGCACGAGATATGTTTCTCTAAGTAGATAATATCATAATTGATCTTATATTACGGTACCTTTAGGTAGCGATGAGGATCTGAGATGAATTGTGTTTACTTATGGTCGTACAACTATCTCATGGAGATTCCAAGCAAAACACAATAACTACATCATCTGATCATGCACAGTAGTTAGCCATTCATGAGGCATGTTATGAATCGTTTGGTTTAGATTTTTGATTCAACACTTTTAAATGATTTGTGCTTGTGGAATCTCTTAAGAGAAAATGCATGATTCTGATAATCATGTATGAATAAAATGGTCATGATTATCATGCATCAGGTGGCAATTTTAAATATTTGCTCACTAAGAGCTTACTATTATAACATTTGGAAATTTTATTCACAAAACTACAGTTCGACTAGTCATATATTAATAGAAACTTGCTATTCGGTTTTGCACTTTCGGATTGAATTATTAGATTTTATTGTGTGGGCTTTGATTGGTTATTTTGGGATAATTTAGGGATTAATAAGTTGGGGTAGTTATAGGAAATTGTGCTTTTAGTATTTAAATTATTGTGCTGTGTAGAGAAGGGTAAGCAAGATTAAACCTAAAATTGTACCATAATCTCCCTATCTCTCTCTTCCTCTGCCGAGTTCTTTCCTCCCTCTCACAAGCTGCTGCTGCGCGCGGCTCCTTTTCTCTTCCCTTCCTCTTCTCAACTTAACTCTCATCTCCACTTCTCCCATTTCCTCCCTAGGATCAACCACTCATTGATTCCCTTCCCTATTCCCCATCCCTAGATAGAACCCGGTCTGTGGGGTTCTATCATTTGGTATCAAAACTTCCACGATTCTGCAGACCGGTACACAACATCATGGTGCTCACCAAATCTATGTCAGCTGCTGAAAAGGCTGACTTGGCCAAGCAAGCCGCGGAGTCGGCCATGGCTCAGGCTGGTGGCGGCAAGGAGACGACCGAGGTGTTCAATCCGCCTCCCAAAGGCGCACAGCACCGACCACCACCACCGCCGTCGGAACCTCGGGTAGACGGCGCGTTGGAAGACGAGACAGAGGACGAGGAGGTTCGGGTCACCCTGCGCAAGCTGGTGGCGTCGATAGTGGAAGAACGACGGGTTCAGCTGGAGGAGTTCCAGAGGGTGTGGCAGAAGTTTGACGAGATCCAGGAGGTCTTGGTGAACTTACAAGGGAAATGGCAGGACCCGCAACTCGAGGATGTTGGCGGGGGAAACTCGAGCGCGGCAGTGGTGGTGCCTGTGCCGCTAGGCGACGCGGGTGAGGAGGCGGCTAAGGCCGCTGGAGATGGAGGGGCGGTTGCCGACTCCACGAAACCGGAGCATGCGGGCCACGTCTCGCTTTGACGGGGCAGCCGGTCTGGGCTTCTGCCTATGCCTACGGCCCAAGAACTGGTTGCCCGCAAGGGCAAGGGCAAGCTGCCCGGCTACGACGTGGGGGCCCATCAGGCTG